GTTCCATATTGCATGTCCTCAAAATTGAGGGCCTTCAAGACATTTCGCTGGCAAAACAAGGCCTCGCGAACCACCAGGGCTGGGGTGATGCATGTAAGTGAGTCACTGGCAGCGTCTTCCAAGAGTGACATTCTTGCCTCGAGAAACGGGGAAAAGTCACGGCGCTCAAACATGTCGCCAGTCCGCACAGTCGGTTTGCAATCCCGCCATGCTTTGGCGCCAACTTTTGCTCGCGCGTTTCATTTTGATTGGAAGTAATTTCATATTGATTGGAAAGTTTGTGTGAACAGTGCTCGTGAAAATTTATGATTTTCCCCTGTTTCAAATTGATTGGAACATTTGACCAAATTGATTGGGAAAAGGTGTAGTCTTCGTAGGGGTCAAACCGAGTCGACGTGTAGTTGATGTAAGTGGTCAACCGGTTCGACAGCTTCGATTCAAACGTCGGCACAAACCCACACGGAGTGAGCCCCAGCTCGGTCGCCATGGCGTCGCGCAGAGCTCCAGGTATTGCCACAAGTGAAGTTCGTACAACGAGAGCGGGCGATGGGGCTAACAATTGATAAACGCGTTGGGCGTCAGCATGACTTGTTTGCCGTCAGGTGTGGTCTTGACCTCCCGCGAAATCAAGTTCATGGTCTGACCAAACCCTTTCATGCACTCCTCCGTCAATGCCACCAGCACCGTCATCAGTCTCCCGAATTCGACTTACGTTCAAATGTACCAAGTACGGTGGCTCGACCAGGACGTAGTTGAAAAACCCGTGCAACCTTTCCTCCACGTCCAGCGACGCATTGTAGTCGTAAAAGACAAACTCGTTGTACCAGCTACAATCACCCCAGTGAGCCGACGTGTTGCTTTAGCTCTGTCCCGGGCGCAACGCACAACTGCGACAATCGAAAGTCCTCGGACATATGCGTCTTCGACGATTTGCACGGCTGCTAAGTGGGCTTGCAGGGCCGCCAGCGTTTCGGCCGACAACTCGGACACGAGCTAGTCGTCGTCCATGTCGAGAATCGCGATTGACTACAAATTGAAGGCCAGTCGAATGCGAGGCGCATGGATTGGCTGGAAACGACAAAACATGACGATCCAATTTTGCCCTCGGGTGGCGCGCGCACCGACCAAACGCGGCCGAGGCGGCGCGAACTACTTGATGCGTTCGATGCAGTAGCAGCGCGTAAACCAACCAAGGTGTCTGTGTATTCAAAGCCTGCATCGAATCCGAGATGCGACAAGATCGCTGAAATAAGGGGGAATTGAGACTACAGTACTATGTTGTTCTGGCGCATGGCATGATTCTACGTAATGGCTCTGTCGGGTAAGCCGACACAGACATCCAGTGAGCCGCA